AGAAGTCGTGGAGACTGGGGGATGCCCCAGAAGACTGGAAGAAGGCTAATGTCACCCCCATCTACAAGAAGGGCTTGAGGGATGATCCAGAAAATTATAGGCACATCAATCTTACTTCGGTACCTGGGAATGTTATGGAACAAGTCCTCCTAGGGGCTATCACGAGTCAAATGAAGCACATGATTGGGAAAAGCCAGCATGGATTCACCAAGCGACAAAGTGTGCTTGAGAAACCTGATCACCTTCTATGACCAAGTAACCTGCTTGGTTGATGTGGGGTGAGCCGTGTTCATTGTCTACCTGAATTTCTCCAAGGCTTTTGATACAGTTCCCCACAGCGTCATCCTAGAGAAACGGATGCATTACAGCCTAGACAAGTGGTCTGTGGGGTGGGTGGCAAACTGGCTGCCAGGCCGCACCCAGAGGGTGGGGGGAAACAGCTCCTTTACCAAACTGTCAGCCTGTCACAAGTGGGGTCCCCTGAGGATTGATATGGGGCCCAACTCTGTTTAATATCTTCATAAGTGATCTGGATGATGGGATCAAATATACCCTGAGAGGTTTACTGGTGATACTGAACTGAGTGGAGAAGTGGACGCCTTGGAAGGGAGAGCCACCCTGCAGGAAGACCTGGATAGGCTAGAAGAGTGGGCTAACAAGAACCTTATGAAGTTCAAGGAGGACAAGTGTAAGGTTTTGTACCTGAGAAAACATAGTTCAGGAATGCAGCACAGGCTGGGATCTGCCCAGTTGGGGAGCAGTTCTGTGGAAAGGGACCTGGGGTTCATGGTGGACAAGCAGCTCAACAGGAGTGATCAGTTAGCTGCAGCAGCAAAGAAAGCCAGCAGGATGCTGGGCTGCATCAACAAGGGCATCGCCAGCAGAGTTAAAGAAGTCATTATCCCACTACTCAGCACTTGTCAGCCCACACCTGGAATACTTCATTCAGTTGTGTTGTTTTTGTGTGTGGTGGGGTTGTGGTAGCAGGGGAGGGGGCTACAGCAGTGGCCCCTGTATGAAGCTTCTCAGAGCTCCTCGAGCTCCAAGTAGGACCCACCTCTGGCCAGGGCCGAGCCAATCAATGATGGCGGCTGTGCTTCCGCAATAACATATTTAAGAGGGGAAGAACCTACTGGGAAACGGGGAGCAGAGGAGAGGACTGAGATGTGAGAGGAATACCTATGCAAATTCCAAGGTCAGTGAAGAAGGAGGATGGGGAGGTGTGCTGAAGCAGAGACTCTCCTCAGCCCGTGGTGAGAGAGCAGGCTGTGCCCTGAACCCACGGAGGTCACCAGTGGAGCAGATGCCGACCTGCAGCCCATGGAGGGCCCCACATTGGAGTAGGAGGCTGCACCCAGAGAAGGCCGGGACTCTGAGGGAAGCCCACACTGGAGCAGGCTATTGCTGGGAGGGCTGCAGCCCACGGGAGGGACCCACGCTGGAACAGTTCGTGAAGAATTGCAGCTCTGTGGGAAGGACTCACATGGGAAAAGTTCATGGAGGACTGTCTCCCGTGGGAGGTACTCCACACTGGGTCAGGAGAAGAGTGTGAGAAGTCCTCCCCCTGGGGAAGAAGTTAGTGGCAGAGATAATGGGCGATGAACTGTCCGGAAGCCCCATTCCCTGTTCCCCTGTGCCACTGTGGGGGAGGAGGTAGAATAATCAGGAGCAAAGCTGATCCTGGGGTGAAGGGAAGGGTGGAGGGAAGGTGTTTTTAAGATGTAGTTGTATTTCTCACTGTCCTACTCTGATTTGATTGGTAAATTAGTAGTGGTGCTAGTGTTCAAATTAAATTGATGTCTTTTTCCCAAGTCAAGTCTGTCTTTTGCCCATGACCATAATGGGTGAGTCATGCCTCCCTGACCTTGTCTCGACCACAAAGCCTTTGTTATATTTTCTCCTCCCCATCCCACTGCGGGGGGAGGAGTGAGCAAGTGGCAACATGGTGTTTAGTTGCCAGCTGGTCCTAAACCACAATGTCAGTTTTGGTCCCTGCTGTGCAAAGAATATGAGGCCAGGCTGGAGAGGGTCCAGAAAAGGGCCACAAAGATGACCAGTGGACTGGGAAGCCTGGCACATGAGGAGAGGCTGAGAGAACTGGGTTTGTTCAGACTTGAGAAGAGATGACTTAGGTGAGACCATATCACCATGTTCTAGTATTTAAAGGGTGGCTACAAAGAAGATGGAGACTCCTTATTTACGAGTCACATGGAAAAGATGAGGGGTAATGGGTACAAGTTACTCCTGGGGAGTTTCCAATTGGACACAAGAGAAAAATTTTTCACAGTGAGAACAATCAGCCATTGGAATAATCTCCCCAACACTGGACACTTCTAAAATTCATCAGGGCAGAGTGCTGGTCCATCTTGTCTAGACCATGCTGTTGCCAAGAAAGGTTGGACCAGATGATCCTTGAGGTACCTTCCAACCTGGTATTCTATGATTCTATGACTGTCTTGCTTTGCACTTTTCAGTAGTAAGGATGTCAGTGTTTGTTACCCTCCCAGATGTAGCTGGGGCTTCTAGCTCATGATGACTAGCTTTTCCAAGAGGATGGAATAGCTCAACTATAAGGATGTTGTTTTCAGGCAACAGGAGAAAATAATTAGACTGAAAAAATTAGAACTGTTTGTTAATTAAACAACTGTATATAAACAACAAGCTCTTGAGATATATATTTGCAGAACTTCAGTGCTGTATAACATCACTCTGTGAAATACTTGGCTGCATTAGACACTCCTGTAAATGCCAGCAGATCATTATATATTGTATTTGCATTTTTTTTTCTATCAGCACAAAGTGTGCAGCTGAGATGACAATGATCTCTTTTGTTTGTTCACATTTAATCCTAACCAGCTGGTGGAAAATAGTTATTATTTTATGTGGAGATGAGAGAATCTGCCCATTAATAAGACATCCTTGAAATGCCATGGGAGGCAGCAGACATTGAAATGCATCCTTGAAATGCAATGGGAGGCAGCAGACATTTCCACCATTAACAGAGGTCTGAAATTACAGTTGGAGGTGATTCGCACACACTTGAGTTTTCATTGCTTCCCTTCCCTTTTGCAATAATAGTATAATTCAGCAGTTTGGGTGTTTGAGTGCTACTGTCTACTTAAGGTATTTACTGTGTTGTGACTACTGTGTTGTGACACACTGATAGATGCAGAGCATGATCCTGAAGCTAAATGTATAATTGCAGCAATATTGTTCACACACTTTTCAGTGGATGCAGGATTGAGTGAGCAAAAATAATCACCTTCTGTTTTGCCTACTCAGGCACTGTAGCAACTGAAATGCTGTGCTTTAAACTATCATTGGTTTTTCTTCCTATCCCTTTGTTCCATATGGCACAGCCTGTCAAACTGTTTTAGCATACAGTTGCATGGATGCCAACTATCAGTGTGCAAGGAAATGAAAAGTGCACAAGATTTGATGACTGATGCTGAGTTTCGTAAACTGTCTGCTTTGATACTTGGCGTGCCCTGAGACAGCATGTCCATGGCACAGCACGACTTTCTGTGAGGTGAGACTAAGCACCATCTCCCACAGATGGAAGCAGGCTGCATTGCTATGTGCTGGTAGTGCTGGGGAAATAATGAATACAGTAATGCCAGGTTAAGTAAGGAGACACGTTCCCTCTGCTCTTGTCGCGCCAGTAGTAGAATCCGTATTACTTGAGAGGGGAAGGAAGATCATACTTGAAACAATAGTTAAAGATTTGACCATGCTGGTGAATGTGGAAGATTCTGATAGACTTGTCAGGACTGCTGAAAAGGTTGTCTGAACATAGGTATTTTTATTTTTAGGCACCTCAATAAATGATATAACTTCAAAACAATTGAGCAGCCAGCTGATTTCATTGACTACTTATTTGGGCTATTTTATTAGACCTTTGGCCTGTGCACACACTATTTTTCAAATACTGGGAGTAATCCTTTTATGTTTAGCATTAAAAGTAAAAAGCTCCAACATACCCCTGCACCACCAGTGAGAAGAGCAACCAGAACTGGGAGTTGATAAAGCTGCATACTCTTCAGATTTCTTGTCTTTGCTGCTTATGCCCTGCATAAGGGTGATGAACAACAGCATCAATACAGTCGTTCTGATTAAAACTAAAGCTTTATTAGCCAGTGTTGAGCCTATTAAAATATCAGCTGTTGTTCTGATCAGACTATGCCTGCAAGAACTTGAAGAGTTCCTTCTCTGCAGTCCAGATCCTTTAAAATTCTTTCATTGCACCCTCCGCTCTGATACTGAGATCTGATAGTAAAAGCAGTGCAGTGCAGCAGCATGCTGGCCAGCTAGCCAAGAATTGGTCTCCAAATGGACATTGGAAATGCCAAGTCTGCTGTAGGGTATGCTGGTACATTATAGCGTATGTCACTCATCCCAGACAATTCACAGATTGACTGTAAGCCTGCAGTAGATGAGAATTAAGTATTTGTATTTCGTGCATTTAAAAAGTCAGGGGAAGGCTTATCATCTCTAAATAACATGGTTTGATTCACTGAAGCAAAAATGTTTGTCATCTATAAATAATATAATTCCATTCACTAGAGCCATTGTGATACAATTTTACAACAGGCTTGAGAGCCATTTTTATTGATCACTTCAGATCGATTGTGTTGTTGTGTGCAAATTGGTACAAAACATCACCCAATCACATTTATGACTCTCTGACATCAGTACACGTGGAATGTTGTTCTCTATCATCACTTATTTGTTTAATCAAGCTAATATTTCATCCGCCTCATTGGATTGATAAAGTGACGAGAACAAACTCGAATTACTGAAAATGATCAACCCATTCATTTCTGATCAAAGAGCTAGCTGAGGGATTTAGACTTTTTTAAAACCACACAAAGACTCATTCTCTTTTTGAAACATTAGATTTTTCAGGAAGAAAAGAAAATCTTCACTTTAGACAAAAACATCTTTTGGCACCACAGAATTCACTTACAAGTTTCAACTTTCTGTCCTTGAGAAGAGCTGGTAGAATTGGCTACAGGAATCACTTTGCTTCCGTGGGCTTTTTGCATCCTCTGTTTCATTTGTCTTTCTGAGGACTCAGTGTAGAAGATCTTGCTTTCTCCACGTCAGACAATCATCCCAAAATCCTAAGGAAATGGACTTCTCTGGCTGTGCTTTAGTAAAAAGAGCGAATGCATCTACATACCACCACAGGGAGACAGAGTTCAACAGTTCCTCAAATTTGGATGACGCTTCTTTCTACTATTTGCTGGAGGAATGGGCTCTCAACCCATCAGGCATAAAGATGAAGATGTTTTTAATCCCTCCAGTTGTCTGCCTCGTGGCAGGTGTCCTCATCATTCCGACCATCTTATTTGTGATCTTCTCTAGGTTTAGCATCCGTCAGGAAACAAGGTACATGCTGCTGGGAAATGCTCTGCTTTCTGATTTGATCTACCTGTTGTTCTACACCCTGTCAGCTGCTCTCAATGCAGCCCATGTACATCTCCCAAAGGAAGCTTGTGTCCTCCTATTATTTTTGCTGGCAGTGGCTTACTGTGGAGGATTGTTCACAGCTGCTGCAATAGTCTTGGACACATACATAGCTATTTCATTTCCTTTGCGCTACATTGCTATTTTGCCTCCTTCACTAACTAAAAAAATTATTGTATTACTATGGATGTGTTCTGGGGCTTTCCCTGGGATTTTCTTCTTGGTGCTCTCGAGCACTCACAGCTTTGTGCCCTGTGTCCTGGAAATGTGCTCAGTTCCAGTAATACTAATATTAACTCTGAATGGGACGGATGCTGTGAAACTCTGTTTCTGGCTTTCTACCACAGTTATCTTTCTCTGCCTGTGTCTAATATTTTGTTGCTATGCTATCCTGTATTTTAAAACCAAACAATCGGGTATATGGGAGAGCATTTTCTCCAGAGCCAGTGTAACATTCTTAATGCATAACACTGTGTTATTTTTTTACTTCTTTCCACTCTTGGCCCTTTTTGTAGAATCATTCTTGTGCATTAATGTTGTCATCAGACCGCAGACAGGAATCTGGGTCTCCCTGACAGTCTGCAATGTCCTGATGATTCTGCCTAAAGTTTTGTTCCCTTTTCTATATGGGCTTCGATACAGAGAGATCTCAGCATCTCTCAAATCCATTGTCAGAAGGAAGCATCTTCGCCTGGTGTCACCTGCTCCAACACCATCCTGAGCCAACGCAGAGCACAGACACAGCACAGGAGTTGTCCTTACCTTGTTAGCATGCAAGCCTCATGGAAGTCACTCAGCTTGTGAAGAAGAAGTGATCAACCCATATTTGAGAAGACATGGGTTGATCACTCTGCCTCAGTGCCAGAAGGCCACAGATCTTTCATCACATCACAGTTCTAAGTTTTCTTCTGATGTGGGAAGGCAGTATCTTTTGGATAAGATATTGAATAAGGTAACTTTCACCCACCTGTGACAGATGCCTTTCTGGAAAATGGAAAATTAAAACTAGATGGTGCAAAGCAAAGAGGGTAACCACAGGTCTCTCGACATCATCGCCTACAGCAGAGAGGATCCTTAACCAGACGTGCTGTGATAAGAACAGCTATTTCTTTCACTCACAATGTATTCTTCTAAGGTTGGTAGCCAGTATGCTATTCTCTAAAACATACACTGAGAGATGCCTCTGGAAACTGCTGTACTCCGCGATACGCTGTGCTTCATCTTGTGCGGTGTGCTAGCGTATTAGCTGCCTGACGGATTCTGTCTGACAATCTGCAAAATGCTGAATTTTTATAAAATCTCAGTCTGATGGGAAGTCACCTTTGATCAGTGTCTGTTGGGCAGCCAAGCATGTATCGCTGTCAGGGAGTAACAGAGATGGACGGGCTGCTCAGTGAGGGAAAACGAGCCGGGAGCAGGGGGTGGCAGTGCCTCGCTGCAGGGTGCAGTCCCGCTGTGCCCGTGCCGGGTGAGCCGAGCGGGTGTCTGTGGGCAGCCTGGGCCAGCCCAGAGCCCTGAGTCCCTGCTGGGTCCATACTGGTGTGACCAGGCCAGGGCTGAGCCCGGCAGCTGGGGCAGCTGGGCAGGAGCAGCGAGGTGCGAGGCTGGTACAGGTGTACCCACGGCATGGCTCGGACATGACCCGGGGCGAGGGACTAGGTGTAAACTCTGCTCCTGAGGCCCTGCCGAGGCATCTCCCAGTTCTGGCTTGCAAAAACCTTCTCTAGCAGCCTGACCCCAGGTTACAGCTGCACCAAGTCAGGTCCGGTGTTGGGTACCTGCCACCAAACCCCTAGGAAGGTCAGGAGGAGAGGCTGCAGAGCTTGGTGATATACTCAGGGGAAAGAAAGATGATATCTTGTAAGAGCCTTTTAGGTTTTCCAGGTCAACCACCTACCTGTAGAAGATGAGTGAAACATATTTCTGATCTTTAAAGAAGACAAAATTTCATTAGACATAAACATCGGTATGGGAACTGTAAATTGCAGTGTCGTTCCTTGGACTTGAGAAAAGAGCCTTTGTATTTTTAAAGATAATATTTTTAGAGTTTGCTACTTTTTATACAAAAATACACTGGACTTTTTTTAAAAAAAAAAACCTTAGGAAATGGCCCTTGATTTCATTCTGCACAATATTTCCCTTATGTGCAGACTCTCCCCACCTTCTATTTGCTTAAAGCAATACACAGAAAGTGCTGAATGTGGCTTTTGGATATTTCACACTCATCTGAAGAATTCCAGTAAGTGTCAGCCAGGAGGAGATCGATGTCTGGTTGCATGAGATGGTTTCTGGCAGTGAAGCCTGTTTGAGAGGTTTCTGCTGATCTCTTTCTCCCCTCATTCCCAAACTGCTTGTTACTCTACTCACATTGCAGTATCTGCTCTCTCCAGTTTGCTGATACAACTGTTTCTGGGGTTGCAGGTTAAAAATATCCCTCCAAAGCGAAGTGATGGTGTTTTCATTTAAACCGAGATTATCCCAGCGATCTGTTTTATGGGATGATCTGCAAACAGCTGTGTCAGCACAAGTGAGGGGGGTAACAAATTCCAGTTCAGAGGTGGGAATGAGCAGGGACATCTTAGGGGCTTTGCTGCTAAGGGACATTTCTTGTGTAAGAGCATCTCTAAGGTAAAGTTGTTGCAAGTCAATAAACTGTAATATTGTGTATTTGCTTTAACCATGGTTCTGTTCCTCCCTTATTTTGACCCAAAGGAACATTAAATTCTTGAGTAATTGCTTTGTTTTCCAGAAAAAAAAAAAAAAAAAAAAAAAGAAAGAAAACCATAACATTTCTTCTCAATCCTCTTCAATAAAAAAAATAAGACCTAGAAGTTGCTTTTTACAGGCTGTTTTTATTTTTCTCCAAGGTGAATGTACCACAGACATCCGTCACACAAGTTATGTTTGTATAAAGACTTTATATTTAGCCTATAACAGGACTCTTCCATGACACTAGGAAGGATGGGGAAAATGTCTGTGTACTAGATCAGGTGCTTTCTGCTAAACCTCTTTAGCATGCGGTATGATCAAGAATGGAAGAGTTACACATAACTGCTCAGGCATCTCATATCCTGGGCCAAATCTTTACACCAGTGCCCATTGACAAGGATATTGATAACTTACAGGCTGTTTTGTCCATGGAGAGTTCTTTCAAGCTTCATTACCTGAAGATTACCTATATTGTAAATTTTCATGCTAAGTAGTAAAGATAACTGTGTACATAGTATAATGTAAGGTAGTTCTTTATACAGCCATAGGTGACTGAGTAGCTGCAGATTAATAGTACTTGATCTTCCTTCTATCCTTTGTCAGTTATGAAGTTAATCTCCAGGACAGACTTTGGTGGGATTATATTGCCAATTCTGTAACTCTTCCGTAAAACAACATCCCCTGGATATATTTAGAGACAACTAGAAGTTTGGTAACATAAAGGACACTGAAAGAGAGAGAAAGTGAATTGGTGATCGTGGCCAGTTTATGTACATCTGGAATCTGTCCACAGTGATATCATAAGGACCAGGCAAACAAAATGCTGCTTTGTGGAAATGATCTTCTAAGAAAGATTAATAAAATAATCCTATTCACATCCTTGAAATTGTTCCCTAAAATGGGTATTTGCCTAGGAAAGATTTTAGTTGAACTGAAATTAGTTAAGTTGGATGGAATTCTGAAAAGGTCATCTGCATTGCAAGTTGATGATATTTTATTAATCCACTTTAAGGTGGTTTAACATTAGATAAGTAAGTTTTTCTTAAGTGACTGCTTGTAGACAACTTCTTGCCAAGGAATATTGCTGTGATGTTTGGTAGAAAAGCAGCGTGTTACAGCATGAATAGAACCCACCATACACCTGAATCATTTGCCTTCGGGCATTTCCCCAGTCTATTTGAATGATACCAAAGAAGTCACCAGGGCAATGTCACAAGTACTAGGTTCCTATAATTCTTTTCATAAACGTCTGGAGTTTTGTCTCAAATATGGTTAGGCTTCATTATTTGTCAGTAGCTCATGGCTGATTAGCAACCTTGTAAGGATGTCTCCAGGTAAGCTCTGGAAATTAAAACTGAGACTGTTTACCAGACCCCAGCTATCGACCTCTCTCAGGTCACAAAAGTGAACTTCTTGGATGTCACTGTGCCTGCCCAGCATTTTAATTTAAAGTGAAATGGAGAGCAGTTCACTTTAACATGTGATTTGGCAGCTGGGGGCAATAATCTTTCAATGAATTGCAATAACATGAATCACTAAAGGTATTCTAATTTATAGCCTAAATATACTCCTGATCAGTTTTTCCCCTCTTTTCTTGTGCCAGTATTGTCACTTTGTTTACCGCTGCTCGGTTCTTCTTCCCTCTCTCAGTTGACAGTTGATTGCTGTCCAGTAACCTGCAGACTGAACGGAGTCAGACCTGCATTCCAGGGGCTGTGTCTGTGCCATACAGCACTAGAGCAATAAATAAATCTGCAGTTAGATCTGTGCCTCAGATGAGATCAGACTCAGTGTCACGAGATGCAGAGAATCTCCAGGCAGGTAAACAAGCACACAGCTTCGGATTTGGGGTTTAGTTCATTTGCAACGATTTGAGTAATTATTCAGTAAAACTAATTAACCTCCTGCAGTTTTAGTAATTAATATTAGAGTGTCTACTCCTGCTCCCTCAGCTGGCTGTATCATTTTCTAAAAGAAGTTGAATATAATAACAGAGCAGAAGGAAACTCGCATTTGCCTGGTTGCACTCGAGGCAGCCCAGCGAACTCTGGGGCTGCGTCCCAGCGCTGGGGAACAGCCCCGGCTGCCCCTGAGACAGGGCACACAGCTCCCACATGGGCTGCTCTGCTCATTGCTTTGCTAGTCCCTGGTCTTGTACACTGAGATACTCTATGTCCTTTATATAGAAACTGTGATTGTGGCCGTTCCCTGTGGGAGGTGGGTATGTGTCACAGATGGGAGTGATAGGAAAAGGAAATTACAAGTTCCCTTGAAACTTGATTTCTGTTGTCTCCTGTCTCCACCTCCACCTTGCTGCTGGTAACTGGGGGCACAGAACTGCTAGTTCTTGCCATTTTTTCACAAGCCTTGTGATTTTTGGCGTCTTCATAGATCTACTGATCCTGAGCAGTTTTGTTTTTCAGTATGCCTCTAGTCCTTCAGATTGCAACATGAATCTAAAAGGTACAAAGAGCAGAGAGGCAAATAAAAACAGCTCTTCATCAACTGCTATTAAAACGTTAGAATTTTTGAGAGACTCTCATGAGTGAGGAGAGGGAAAGGAGCCAAGATGTGGTTCTGCTGTCTTGTATTTGTCAGTGAGGGAAGGTCTGGCTCATGCTCGCCCAAGGTCTCAAAGTGTGGCTGGGGAACCACCACAGGAGAGACAAGAGGCTGTTTTCTGTCTCTGATATGTAGAATTAAAAATTTGTATTTGGAAGTTTATTCGGACAACTTTTTTCCAACTCAGTGGATTATTTTTCTCAAGAAACTAAGTACAAGTTTTGCTACTGACATTGCAGGAAGAAAATCAGCAACCAACTTCTGAGGGCTACTGGCTTTTAGGATGATTCCCAGTAGGAACAGGTCAGCCTCAGCAGCTGCTATCATTAGTTTTGGCAACAGGTAAAGATACAGAAACACAGCTTCTCAAGGGGAAAGGGAGACACCCCTCATTCACCCACCAGCCAGTACTCCGAGCCAAATCAAAGGTGGTAACTTTCTTCACAAAAACTGTTTGAAATAAAATACTCTTTTTTTCCATGCCCTCTGAAAAGTAAAGCAGAATGGAACAGTCTGGGCCAGTGTGGAAGCGTGAGAAGTGCTGCACCCTGCAAAATAACAGGAACATAAAGAAAGAAGGGGACCAGTTTAAAAAACAGTTGAAAATGGAAGGACTGTGGGAAAATTAAAGTAAGAAAGTGTGAGGATTGGCTGGAATTACAGAAATGAGTTTCAAGGCATGGGGCAAATTGCAGAAGAGACAGGATTTCTTGCAGTCTTTCTGAGGGAAGGACATGGTGGAGACCTGTTGGGGGGCACGTACCTACCCCCTGGGGTGCCTCTGCCCTGCTCAGCCTGCACAGTTGTGGCAGACTCACCAGCATGGTCTGTGGGCCCTGTCGTACCGCTCCGCACTCTGGCATTAGTGTGCTAAAATTCAGGAAACCACTTTTTTTCTCTCAGCCTAACATGAGGGAAATACTATTTTTAATACTGTATAAGGCAAAAGGAGACGTTACAGAGGGGGAGAGAGGCTAGAAGGAGTCACTGCTCTCTACTTGGACAGATTTGTTTTGCATAGTGTTTTCTGTCTTGATTTAATGGTGAGTTGGCTCTTTCCAGCAACTAGGCAGGGGAGGAGAGACGGGAATATGTTCCCAGCCTTCGGCCAAGAGTGTCCCAGCGCGTCCCAGGCATGACCTCTTCAGTGTTTATTTTTCTTCCTCTACAACTGACCCAGATGCTGAGACTTGGGGCTTGGGCCCTCCTGGCCTGTTAAACGCTTGCCCCTTCTGGTACAGCATGTAACGGTCCCGGGAATCGGGCTGGGAACAGTACCTGGAAGTGTTTTTCTCTCCAGCAGACTGTTCTGTCCGTTTGCATTCCTGGAAACCAGAACCCATGAGAAAACTCCTGGGAGAGCACTGCCACCCCGTGGGGACGGCAGCGGGGGTGCCACCGGCCGCGGCACACCCCCCCACCCCCCCACCCCCCGACTCCGCTTCTGTTCCGTGACAGGGAGAGGAAAAAGCCCTTCGGGCTGAACAGCGAACCAGCCCGGAATAGAACAAAAGGGAAACTAGGTTTTGGTCTGCTTTATTAGAAAACAGCTACAATGAATGATGAGTGGAACCAGATTAGCGTTCATTTATATTTGCAGCCTGTTCAGTCTCTTTCTTGGGAATGACAGCAAGGTTTGCAAACCAAGATGGATGTTTTTGGTCACACAGAACTGAAAAACTGACAAAGTATCTTCAAGCAAACAAACCAACAAAACAGTTTTAACTTAATCTAACATGCCAACCACTGGAAAAAAAAAAAAATATACAGCTTTGGAGGAAATGACATTATGT